TCTTCTATCCTGCATAAGTGGGATCAATATTGTGTGTTGTTTTTTCTTTTTAAAAATTCATATTGCCCCACATCCCTCTAGTGTTATTATCTCTACTTTCCATAGGAAGGTTGAGGGTTCGAGCCTCATAAGGGGTAATGTGTGGGTTTGTGTGTTACTTACCTAACAAAAATAAATAAATGGATAAATAAAAAAGACAAAAAAATCAATATTACCCTCATTATGCTGTCTTTGACTCAATGCATGTATATTAGTTGGTAGTGGGGAGGATTTATTTAAATAAATACTCATGTTTGATTTAATGTATACATCAGTTTATGTTCAAGTTCTTAACTATAGCATTGTGAAGTAATGAGAAATGATTTATAAAAATAAAATCTAGTAGGAGAAATGACATGACAAAAAAGATTGGAAAAAAAAGAATCCTTGTGGCCAACCCCTTTGTACGGGATAAAGGCAAGGATGATGATGATTGTTTTATGCTGCCCCAAATTGTTCAGGATTTAAGTTGATTTGAGTTCACATGTATGTTGACATCATTTCTACGAACTTTTTGATGAATGATGTTTGTGATGTGATTGTGTATTCAATTTAGCTTGATATGATCTTCAAATTTCCTCCGGTTACAGTTGGATACTTCAATTTTCCAAATTCTGTACAGTTATTAGTTTTTGTTGTTGTTGTTGTTGTTGTTGTTAGTATTGTACCAATACTTCTCGGTTTTTGTACTGTGTGTATCACAAAGAGATCACATCTGGTATCCTCTTATATGGCATTGAGCAGACGTTTGCATTGCATATAATTGTTCCTTTCATTTTGTGGGGCAATTTTGTTAGGATAGCAGCTGTAGAACTATTCCACAATGTACGGGGGAGTGGAACTTTGGCCCTTAATCATTATCATTGTTCTAGGTGTTCTTTCATCATCTTTATGCTAGGAAATGAAAACAAATATATCTAGAAGAATGTTTTGATTGCTGAAGTACACGCTCCGAGTTTCTTTTGGCATTGCTCAAATTTGTTGGCTTAGATCAGAAATGAATGTGTTTTCATGTTAGTGTTTTAGTGAGGTTTTTATTCTTGTACCGGTGTATTTTGTCACAAGGGTACTTTGTTAAAAAAACTCATTCACCATCATCGTATGGCTTAGAGTTCATATTGAATGAAGTTGTTACTGAAAAATGTGAAATGATTACCAGTTGGCAGTCGCATGATATTTGTAGCAGCATCATTTTATGTGTGTCTCCTCTTATCAAGTGGTTCTAAAGCTTTATGATATTTGTCATATACTTGAAGTTATGGCTGATTGCAGTATGAAGTTCCGGTAAGGGACTTTCACCACATATTAGGTTGTGGTGGATGGGCACTAGCCATCACCTTGGGGCTAAATGCGACTGAAATGGAGTTGGGAACGAATGGCAACCAGTAGGTAAACACGTGATTCCATCGCCACACGTGAAAACTATAGTTGAGTACGTTTTGGCTTCTATGAAGTGGTCCTTAAGGGTATATTCATTTGTTTGTATAAATCCTCGTGGCTGGTAGCAGTGTCAAATTCATGTAGAGGCTCCTTCACTAGGCATCAGATGCATTTCTTCTTCTTTTGTTTATTACCTTTTAGTAAAATGTACTTGTATTGTATTGTATTGTAGTAGGTGTGAAATTTGTGAGAGCATCTGATTATAGGTATTTTTACTGCTCCTCTCGAGAAGAGGTTTATTTCAGCTGCTTTCAGATGCAGTTTTCTCCTCTTCCTTGTTTATCGTTCGGGTTATGGACGGTCTCGTAGTCATTTGGTAGGACTTTATGTACAAATATAGATTGCAGAAAATGTGTTCATTCTCTTCTACCGTGTCTTTTAATTTTGAATCCCTGGTATCTTCTCTTCTACTTGTTTATCCTGCAAACATACAGTGGAAGTTTGCTTAGTGACAATATTTTCAGAATATGCTTACGTCTTGATAAAAGACAATTCCAGGTACAAAATTGTTGATAAACCTGGGAAGTACTTGCCATTTGAATAAATTTTTTTAGGGATAATCCGGTGAGGGCTGATATCAGTCTTTACTCACATAAAATTAGTCGGATATTTTCAACGGTCGGGATCTCTATCATTACTTATTTTTTTTTAGTTAAAACAAAAAGAATGTCTTTTTATTTGGAAGAATTGAATTGTTGAACTAGGTTTGGTTCGTTGTGGGATATTGAAGGGGTCAACACGATTCTTTTTAAGGGATTTAAGTTCGAGTCAAGTCTAGTAATGGTAATCTGCCATCTTTGAACTCTATTTCCATCCATGGTCAAACGCTGAAAGGTAGACTGTCTTTTAAAATAGCCCCTTTATAAGGTATCTTGGGCCTAATTTATTTATTTATATTTATTTATTTTTTTCACACATATATGTGTTTGATATTCTAAATCTACTTAAAATTTGAAAATTGCATAATATAATTTTTAAGCCACGTGTTTAATGCTTCCAATATATTTTAAGGCATGTGTGACAAGTTTTGAACATTAAAGTGTTAAATTTTTTCAAGTATAGCATCATTATATAATCCATAGAAAAAACCAGGAATTTCTTCAGAAAGAAATGGTGAAATATTATTATATGACTAATTTAGTTCAAAACTTGTTTGTTAATATAACTTTCAGCTTGTTTATATATATATATATATATAATCTAAAACTGGTAATAACAGTATATATAAAATGACAAACAATTATTATATTTAATTAATTCATATAAATGTTTCTATTTTAATTTTATACCTATCTAAATTAAGTGTAGGCTCAATGATTTTGATTTTGCGGTCAAGTCTTTACTTTGAAACTTGAAGTGAAGTACTTTGGAAATGGACCGTGCCCACTGTCCCGATTAGTGGACTGTTCAAACCGTACCGATATTGTTTATTTTGTAGTGGATTGTTCAAATCCTATAAAGCACGGATACTCCTTCCAGGGATCCCGTACCTGTGTCGGATATTTTTCGGACACCGGCGTCCGTGTCCGAGGCTCGGACACGTGTCCGACACTTCTGTAAAGTGTTCAAATATTATTTTTTATTGGACACGCGTGTCCGAGGCTCGGACACACGGTCCGACACTTTTGTGAGACAAAATTTATTTTCTCTCAGTCTATCATCTTCTTCAGTTATCTCTCTTCATGAACAAAAAATATATATATATATATATATATATATATATATATATATATATATATTTAAGTTATATGAACAAAACTTTGTGAAAGACTGAGAGTATATATGTTGATTCATATACATATTTAGTTCATTATAGTTATGTCTCTTCTGCACATCTTCGTTTGGAATTTGGATCAACTTTATTTTTCATTTATTTTCTGTTTTGTCTTGTCCATATTTTTTTTATAATAGAGATGAAATTATTGAAATTGATTCTGTTCTTTGTTGTTATTTTATTTATCTGTACAAGATTCTAGTAATTATATTTTGAATATATAATTATATATATATATAATTTTATAGGCGTATCCCCGCCGTGTCCGTGTCCTATTTTTTTAAAATTTGCCGTATCGCCATATCCGTGTCGTATCGAATCCGTATTTCATATTCGTGTCCGTGCTTCATAGTTCAAATCCTATAAATATTGTCTGTTTTGTATTTTTATTTTTTCAAAATTGGTCTACTTCCATGCAGTTAAGTATCAAAAATCTCTTTCCCAAGCCATGTGAAATTGTGGTAGCATCAGTGATGAATGAGTTGACTCAGACACATACCTAGTGTGACTTTTTTGGTCCAGTCCACGAGGGCCTGCCTAGTCTATAAAACCATTAAATAACCACTAAGATTGATATTAAATACTGTTACAACCAAATTTGATATACCTACCTACCCATTAATGAATTCATATGCTGCCATACGCCCATCCATTTCTGTGTTGTTGAAGGATAACTAGTTCACACCAATTACAAAAAGCGGAATAAATAAATCAGGAAAAAAAAAAAACACTCTTTGATATTGTTAAAACAATATAATGTGAGATTAATACTGCTCACGCCCAAATAATAATAATAAAAAAAAGTCGTGTTTGGTGTGCTGATTCTCCCGTCAAATATTTCTTAAAAATAAATAAACATATAACATTGTTTAGATTAGATAGAAAAACTAATATTATTTTGGTAATAAGCACACCATTTCACGGAGAATGCATGACATTAGATCAATTGAAGACACGGAATACTGATAATATAGTATTCTTACGGAATCATAAATTATTATTATTTTTACATAATTAAAGAAAATGGAAATTTTTTTTTTTTTTGGATGGAAGTATTAAATTAAGTGACAGACTTACATAGAGTGGGTGCGAAGCATAAAAACGGTTAAATTTAAATTACTATATTCGCATGTTTTTTGTATGAAAGTAATTTGGTTATGAGAAATAGCCGAGTATTAGTCAAAAGAGTAAAGACTGTGGTCAAGTTTAAAATTTCTGTTAGTCAAATTATTAAATAATTCATTTCCAACCACTAATTAAGGAGTGATGTTTTTATGCATCGAGTGATTTCAATCAAAGTGCCGAGTGTTTCCTGCCCTTGACGCATTTGGATAGGGTCCATTCCGGCTCCTACCTACCTCAAGTCCGTGTTTCTTTCAATTACACTCTTAGGTGTTGACATTTCAAACTTCTAACCTCAAAATAGAGATTTCGAACTCCGTTTGGTTTAATTCAAATTCGAGTTAATTTAACGTTTGTGTACCATGAAACATAAGGTTATATCTTCTAAATATAAACAATTCTAACTCTGTTTAGTTTAATTCGAGAAGATTTGACGTTAGTGTATTATGAAGCATAAAGTTTCAGAATCGATTATTCTAAAAAAAAATAATTTTTTAAGGGTCACCCCTGCCGATATAGTTCAAATTTTACCGGATTTGTTTGAAAATGTCTTACAATAGTTCCATGAATTAATTGGGACAAAATACCAAAAAATAGAGAGAGAAACATTGGTGTGCAATAACAATGGGACGATAAATATAAAGAAAACCAAGTAGCATTTAAAAAATGTGTAACAAAATCATCTATGTTGATTAGGATCTACCAATTACAAGTATGATGGAATTACCCTTTACAGGGAAGAAAAAGAAAACATGGACAGATCAAGAATATTGCAACTTTATGCAATAAAAAAACACAAAATTTAACTCATGACTACCCCACTAAGAATAATCCAAAAAAAAAAAAAAGAGAGAGAGAGAGAGAATGAAATTCATCTAATGACCAGGGCCTCTTTTGCTAGGGCCAGAAGCCAACTTGAACGCCAACTTCCTTACTACTTCGAAAGCACCACTACTGGAATTGTTGGAAGCCACAGCAAAAGGAGTGGTACCCATTGAAGCTCCGGTGGCCTCGTCGCCGCAACCGGCCATGACGGCGGTGTCCACCGTCGATCGGAGAGCTCGGCAATTGACAGCACTGAACTGTGTACTCATCACCAACAACACAATACCCAACACCAAACAAAGGCTCTTCATTGGTGTTGTTGTTAGGCTCTTCTTTCTCATTATTGCCATCCCTAGCTGTGTTTTGATCTGATCTCTGTGTGTGTATATATATATGTGTGTAAATATATGTATATTTATTTTCTTTCAGAAAGAAGAAACTGATATTGAAAGAGAGAAGAAACTGATTGATATGGAAGTTATTGATGTAGCACTATGAAGTGCGCGAAGTGTTATATATAGGGATTTGTCGGAGGACGGTGAAGCCCTTTTCGCACCAGGACCCATTCTACTATTTTGACCTGGCCTTCCACTCGTCGAATTCGTGTGTGTTTGACTTTCTGGGTGTTTTGGCTGTTTGAACTTGACTTTTTTTCATATTGAATATATTTATATATATATTATAAATAGGAGTAGACAAAATAATTAGGATAAATTGCATCAAAGGAATGTTAAATTAATTGTCATTTTCAGAAAATTTAATCAGAATGTCTGTTAAAAATAAAATGTTAGGGGATATCAATGAACATACATACCAAATCTAATAAGAAATTAAAGTAATAAATGTTTTACTATGTACTTATATATAATATAACTTCAATTACCTACTATTTTGTTTACATTGCTTAAGGGTAAGGGAAAATTACATATACATGGAGCTAAAGTTTCATATTTACTTAGAGACTGAGTCAAAGTTTCATATTTCTCTAAAATGGATTGCTGAGGTGGCACATGGTTTTTTACTGTTTAGAAAATTGTGGTGCCTAAAATGCCCTTCCCTAACAAAAAAGTAGTACCTTCAGTGCAAAAAAGTAGTACCTTCAGTTCAAAAAAGTAGTACCTTCGGAGAAAAAGTAGTACCTTCACGGATGTTTAAAAAACATGGTACCTGGACGCCAAAAAGTAGTACCTTCAGTTCAAAAAAGTAGTACCTTCGAAGAAAAAGTAGTACCTTCGTGAAAGGGTATTTTAGGCACCACAATTTCTAAACAGTAAAAAACCATGTGCCACCTCAGCAATCCATTTTAGAGAAATATGGAACTTTGACTCAGCCTCTAAGTAAATATGAAACTTTGACTCCATTTATATGTAATTTTCCCTAAGGGTAAAGTATTTGGGTATTTTCTTAGGGTTTATAAATTGAGACTTTTCTCTTAATTTTGGAAAGGTCTTTGGTGTAAATTTCCTTTAAAATCACTACAAAAATATAAAAATACATGCCAAAATTATAAATTTTATATTTTCTCTATATCAAAAAAATATCACTTTTGAAGAACTGTTGAACTGTTGAGACGGAGGAAATAGTATCCTAACTTATATATATATATATATATTGAGCCGATAATCCACACGGCCGGTGTATATATATATATATAAATATGACTTTTGATATTTGAGTGCTTTTTCTGAAATACGATCACGTTAAATTGAGAGATTGGTTTCACACAGACTACACGGCTATGAAAGGCCTATCTTTACATCTGTTACGCGTTTTTTCTCCTTCGTGTTTGTGAACTTTCTCATGGAACAAACACAGAATAATAAATGCTGTACTAACACAATAGTCTCTCTCCTCTCCTTGCGTGTGTGTTTGTGTGTTTTTTTTTTTGTAAAAGGCCATCTTTTGAACCGTCATTAATTTCGTCCTATTCAGTACGAGACGGTGTGTGGGAAGTCAAATGGACACCCTTGAAACACTACTGTTTGTCTCCTCGAGGGCTCCAAATCTCTTTCATATGCAAAATGACTATTTATATATATATATATACACACACACATATATGTTACCAGGGTGGAGTCAGGATTTAAATTCATAGGGGCTAAGTACCAAAAAAAAAATAGAAAAACCAAAAAAAAAACCAAGAAGTCTAAGAAATAGAAAAAAAAAATGGGTAATAAAGAAACCAATTAGAGTATGATTGAATAAGAAAATTTCGATTTTAAAAAAAAAGTAAATTAAAGAAATTTAAAGAATAAATGAGGAAAAAAAGGAAAAGTTAAGAGAAATTTGAAAACTTAATATTTTTAGGGGCATAATATATAAATTTCTATACATATGTAAAAATGATTTTAAAAATTCATATATGTTATATAGACCGGGGCATGTGTCCTCTTAGACATGTGCTGGATCCACCCCTGATGTTATGTAGTACATTTAATTAAATGAGGATTCAGATGAATCAATGGTTAAGTTCAAGGTTGTTGAACTCTTGTTAGTTTAGTTTTTCTGTTAAGCTATCTTTCAACATTTATAGATGGTTAACTTGTAAAATATATAGTATTATTTTAAACATGGATAAATTAAACTCGCATAACATCTTTTGAGATTTGAACAAATTATACACTGATTGATCATTCAACGTTTATTACTTTGACCTTCATTACACTTGTTTGCGGGTGGAGGGAAAGTGACTTTTAGAATACAAGGGAAAGATAAATGTGTCATTTTATTAAAGTTGTTTAACTGGTCAATTGGAATAAAATACTAGATGTCTCATTAAATATGCACCAAATATTAGTGAAGGTTAAAGTAATAAACGTTGGACAATCTATTCGTGTATAATTTCCTCGGACATGAGAAGTAGTCAGCGTAATTTATCCTTGTATATATATATATATATATTCATTTTTATTATACTTTATTACCTTTCTTTAAATTATTTATAAATGTGTTTAAGTTAAGAATTTCTGAAGTATTAAAAATCTAATAAGATTAGGTCACAAATTAATTAAAACTTAGAAGTCTTGTGCTTATAATTAAGAACTTCCATTGGGGGCACTAGCTCCGTCGGTACGACGTATGAACTCATTTATTATGGTGTGTGTTTGCATTGCTTTAACTTTTAGGGGAAAAAAAAAAAAAAAAATTCCACGTACAAATTCATGTAAGAAAATCACTTAAACTTATTTAATAAACGAGTAGGAAATTAGTTGAAGCTTTACTTAATAAAAACACATAAACCAAAATTGTAAACTAGTCAATTCAATTAAAGTCTCTATCAGCTAATACTCAATTAATTTGAAAATTTAATAGTTGGTCATAGAAAATATGTCACTAATTTGAAGTTATAATAGTATATAATTGGTCGCATATAGAATTATTGTCAATTTCAATTTCAAGATCAAAATATTTTAAAGTTTTCTACTTGTATATGATGGGTCAAGGGAGGCTCAGTGAGTGGTTCACCTACTCAGATTGTGTCTTTCTTGTTAACCAGTTTTAAAGGGAAAGGTCCACTGTGTGTGGTAGGTGTTCTGTTTATGCGATTTTCAAAAGCAACCCATCACCATTACTGCTCAAACTTTCAACATTCCCACCAAGAACATGCTCTTTCCAGGTTCATATATATAGACCACTTTTCTTTGCCGACTGTTTCATTCTTCGGACAGACCAGAATCTTGAATATATATATATATATATATATATGTCACAAAACAAAATTGAGAAAGTTTGAAGTGGATTAATAAAGACCGCTAAGAGTTTAAGCGTATCACCACTCACATAAAATAGTGGAATATATATTTTACTCTCTATCTGCTTGCCATTATTCATAATAATTTCTTAAGATATATAACAATAATTAAGAAAAAAATATTATATCTATTATTAAATACAATAATAATTATTTCATGGTCATATAACATCAAATATCACGATCAAGTTACTAATTAAAAGAGTCATGATGGTCCTACATTAACTTTTTTTTTTTTTTCGACCATTATGTGCTTGGGGTAGATATATGTAAAGTAAGGTGGTCTGGTAAATGGAATATTGCTTCGAAAATGAAAATGTCAATGTTTGCTACATCCAAAACATTTGACTTGGTTTTTGGTTTTATGCTAATTTTTCAATCCTCTCTTGTCGGTGAATCTTATTATTATTATTTTTTAACACTGTCGGTATATCTTATTCAAAGCTCTGCAAGATCATTTTAATCCTTTATCTGATTCAAATTAATTCAAATCTTACAATTTCATTTCATTTCATTTTAGACGTCAATATTTCAATTTCAGTCAAAAAAAAAAAAAAAAAAAAAAAAAAAATTAAAATTGTTTTTCTTTCCGATTCAATAAAAAAAAAAAAATTCAATATGTGGATCAAACAATGATCTATACGTACACGTATATATTTGTTTATATTTGAATCAATATATTTGTATTTCTTTCTCTCATGTTAGGGTGAATGTGGTTTTGCTGTATAAGGAAAGAAAATCGAACATTGTGGAGGTGGTTTTGTTGTATTTGAAAACGTCACAAGTGATTTTAGAAATCATTGTATTTGAAAACGACACAACTGATTTTAGAAATCGAGCAAATTTTAAATGAAAAATTCTATTTTTTTGTGTATTTAAATTAGTTTATAATAATCATGTAATATTAACCAACAATCATCTATGTGAATGAATCACTCACATCAACGTTGTTATTAGTCACCGTCTAATATAGTAAATTAGTAATAAATGTGAATGTTATCAAACATATTTAAACGTGTGTTAAGTATAAAAAAGTGTTTTATAAAATGCATAATCAAACACTTAATATATTTTTTACTAATAGTAATTTTGTGACAACTCTCAATCACCTTAGCAATGATACTTGGATATATTTTTTTTATTTGTTTAAAGGGTTTTTATTGTAAAGGATAAATTTAAATATAGATCCCATTTATTAACATCAAAAGATAAAAGAACATGGGCACACAAATCGGCTTAAAAATCATTTCTTAATCACAAAAATGACATGAATAAATTCATAAAATGTTACAATGTCATTCTTGTTACAGACACTTAATTATATTTCAAAGTAGAAGATAAATAGTTCAAATTTCTATATGTAAATTTCTTGCCTTGAGTATATATATATATTAAATTAAAAATTAAACAAGTGTATTTTCTAGGTCAATTCAAATTTCTATATGTAAATTTCTTGCCTTGGGTATATATATATATATATAATTAAAAATTAAACAAGTGTATTTCCTAGGTTCACCTACCGTTCACCATTCCCATTATAAGAAAATATAAAAATCCATTGTTGTACAACCTAACACCCATGCTCAGGTGAGTTTTTTTCTTTCTTGCTTCTCCCTAGCTTCTTGCACACACAGTGTTAGTGTCTGTGTTTGAGCTTGGTTCAGAGAGAGTTTTACATTTAGTGGATTCGTTCATTTCCCCGATTTGGGCTGTTGTT